GTTCCTCAACAAGTTTCAATAAGAAAATGTATAGATTTGCTCCCTTGAGAAAATGTATTTTTAGACAACTTTGGAAGAGGACTTAGGCTATGGTCTACATGGAGGTATGAAACTAATCCACCTACCTCTTCCTTGTAATGAAATTGATCATACATACAAAGTTGAGAGAAGCGAGTTTCAAATGTATCGACGTTGTTTACCGTGCGAAGATGATGTGAACCAACCACGTCACTCCAAAACCATGACCCTCTTTAATTTTTTTCTTTTTTTTTTATCAAATTTGACCCCTACTAATATTGGTCATTAAGAAATTTTTTTTATGTTTATAGAAACTAGACTTAAAAAATGAATATATCAAAATAATTTGGAGTAATTTAAACACTGGAAGCTTAAGAATCGAGGACTAAACCTCAACGATGAGGTAAGTAGTCAATCTCGATTTTTCTTAAGAAATAGTTATACGAATCACTCAAATTTTATTATGAACCTTAAGAAAAATATAAAGGATTATGGAAGAATTAAGTCAACAACCGTGAGAGTTAAAAACCTAAATCGAGCATTTTCACGAGAATCAAGTAATCTTAAAATAACTTACTAACTAAATTTTGCTGACTATGAAACTTTAATGTTAGGTATAAGGACGAGAAGCTAAACCAAGTAATGACATAAATGACCATAATGCCCCTAAGGTAACTTACCTTCGATTCATGACTCTAACTTAAGATGATCTCCATGTAAACTCTTGATTTTTAAGTAGTCATAATGCTACCTCGTGATAAGCTTTAGATAGCATTTGATTTTTAAGCCTCAAAGACATGATTCAAATGAATTTTAGGTAGTTTTTTATTTTTAAGTAAAAAACACTACTACCTTATGACCATGAATGAAGATACTAAGTTTACCACACGCCCATGCCCTAAAATAGCATTACAACCCACAAGTCCTCTAAGATATGAAAACTGCTCGGTACCACTCTAAAGTTAAGAACAAGTACCAAGAACACGAATAAGAACTAAGATCAAGAATCAAGGATAAATGCTAGAACATGGATCAAAATCTAAGTTCTCAGGTAAAATTTTCACAGTTCTCAGGGTCAAATAGGATCAAAACTCCTCTAGCATGCATCTAAGAATAATCATAACATACATCATGCTTAAAATGCAATATGGGAATAAAATCAACCTAGGCATGTTGGAGAGCTCATAAACATGTTAAGAATATTTGAGTTCTCAAACATGCAAGCAAAAACTATAAAGCGGTAAACTATGCTAAACTGTAAACCATACACGTTTCTAGGTTTAACTATCATGATAATTGATCAATTTGGTCTATAGATATGATCTGTTTGATGCTTGTTCCATATTGGTAACTTGCTCGAGTATGTTCGGGTGCTAGGTTCACAATCCTCCTAAAGTTGCTTTTCTACTAAATTTCTAGGGTATGGTGCAAATAGTGACTCACTGCCATGTTATCATCCCTAAATGCTAAAATATATATTTTTACCATATTTGTAAGTCGGCTCAACAAATATTTTTACTCAATTATGTATTGGACAATCTGTAAGTGCCCTAGAGTATCATTTTTACTCAGTTATGCATTGGACAATCTGTAAGTCAGCCCAGCAAATATTTTTACTCAGTCCACTCAGTTATGCTGGACAATCTGTAAGTCCCTATAGTGTCTGTTATGCTGATTATAGATTATGAACCGTTGTTTTACCTTACTAAGGTGCTAAACAATTTCCAAAATTAAAACTAAACCAAACCCTAAAAGTCATAAAGATTTTCTATGCCAAACCCAAAAAAACAAACTATTTCATAGTCATATACTTTGCTTGAAAAGAAATGAATGATCAAATAAGTATTGATATTACAACAAATTTTGTTTTATTTGAACAAAATTTGGTAATATAAATAGATACACAAAAGAATAGTACGAATCTCCACCGTCCATGATCATGCCTTCAATCCACTACACTTAGCAACACCAAACCCAATTCTCTTATTGCTCAGATCGTACTCCACCCACATATTCTGCTGATGAACGTTCCCGATTATATTACTCTCAGTCACAAGTCTATCTGACCGTCCGATCCCCACGCACTTCACCCCTTTCTCCACTTCCGTCAATAACCCTTCCCCTTTCCCGACCAATATCTCCACCCCATTCTCAAACTGGAACCACATGTCGCCGATCCTCCGACCCACCACGGCCGCCACTGCGCCGTCGAAACACATGTCGGCGACGGCGGCGTATTCATATCCTTTCTTCATCATGGGCCCCACTAATCTCACCATCTCTGCTCTGACCTTGCTGTAGGCCTCATCTACCAAATACGTCAAATCCGAGCCGGAGTCGATCATGGTCTGACCGGCGCCAGATGGGTCCGGTTTGAAAACGGCCGGCGAGATGTTGAGTTTGTTGTTGCCTATTCTTATCCCCTTCATCGGGAGGGTGTAGGCCAACTTGTCAAGATTCGGGGAGCGTCGACTTTTGGGGAAAGTCAACATGTTGACGTATTTGAATTTAGCGGAGTTGGGATTGTCTCCAAGGTAGAACAAGCCGGTCCGATCCGACCCGGTCCGATCCGGAACGCAATAGGAAAACTTGGATATTTTGGCCTGGGAGATGAAGGAGAGGCGTCCAGTATTCATTCCCAACATACCCCTGTTTTGGGTGGAGGCCGTAGCGCAGCCCAGAAGGAGGGAGCGGGTAGTAAAGGAACTGGAGAAGGTGAATTTTTCAGTGACGAGATTACCCTCGGCCAGGGTCCCATCCGCGTAGAAGTAGGAGTAGTGGCAGTGGCGAGTTGGGTCACAAGAAGTGGGAAGGGTAAAATCGGGAATTCGGGGTCTGCACAGAGTGGTGTTACAGGGAAGGAAAGAGAAAGAGGAGGAGAGATAAGGGTCAAACCAATTAATCATGGGCTTCACTGATTTTCTCCTTACTTTGCCGTGGCATTGAATCCAGGACAGTTGGCTGCCGGTGTCTACGACCATGTCCATCTGCTGCGGCGGCGATCCAATGGGAACAGACACCACAAGGGCGTTGGAGTACTGGAAGGGGAGCTTCCCATGGGATTTGGTTTTGGAGGAGAGGGAAAGGGAGGCTTCTTGGGAGGAGACAGAATGGGAGGTCAGAGGGAAGGAGAGGGAGAGGGAGTTTGATGGGGAGAATAAGACACCGAATAGGGAGAGAAGTAGGAGAGAGAGAGGCATGATTATGGGTTTGTGACGGTTTGACGTTGGATATGACCCACGGTCTAAATACACCCAAACAAATAAAAAAAAGCAACAACCTCTTTTCTATTCTCTTTGGTGTTGTATCGATATATTTCGAGAGTGGGTCATATCCAACGTGTTTTTGGATGTAGCTGTTGTTGGGAATATATAGAGAGTAAAAATGGAAGGGAATGTACAATTCAAACCTCCTATTTCAAGAAAATATAATCAATTGGTTTTAGTTTTAGGTTTTAGTTTTAGTTTGAACAAATGTGTGGTACAAATTTGAGATCTAGTCCGGAATAAAATGATTTGTTTTTAGTTTGACTATATATGTGATAGCATTTGAATATGTAATTTTTTAGTTCAAAACTTTGACATTAAATGAATTGAATTAAGTTCATAGTGATAAACGAGTGAAATCTTTGTTTAACAATAATAAAATGACTTGTCGACGTATTAGGTTATTTATTGAATATGGTATTGTGGCATGTCAACTAACGTATATTTTTTTTTTTTGTAAAATAAATATTATTAGTTTAAGAAGAGGAGAAAAAAGCTAACCTATTATTCGGTCTATTTTTGTTCGTATTTCTTTTAATAGCATTTTACTTAAAATTGTGAGTGTAAAAATATGTAAACCCTCTTATGAATTAATTGAGCAAAACAAACAGAAAAATAAAAAATGGCATCTTCTAATTTTCTTGCAGTCTCTTCCATTGTCCTTTCATTCTATTCCTCAATGGGATGGTGCCCATGCATGTAGCTTCTCAAAACGACATCGTTTCCACCACATCTGCAAGAAAACTAGAAACCCATCTTTTTGCTTTAACGTGTTGAAATCTGCTGGCACCACAGATCCTAAAAGGGCTGGCCACCTTCACCCTCAACCTCGCCCACGAC